AGAAGAAGACAGACATAGCCGGGGGTGTGTATAAAAAAAATATATATATATATATATATATATATACAGCGAAGGAGAAGAAGAAAGAAAGTGAAGGAAGGGGAAGAAGACGGCGAGGGTGACAAAGGTGATAGTGCCGGCAGCCATAGCCGAGGTTGAGGGTTGACCGGGCGTTGACCAGAGAGTTGACCAAGGGTTGACCAGAGGGTTGACCAGAGGGTTGACCAGGCGTTGACCGAGGGTGTTGACCAAGCGTTGACTCGGGGTTGTCCGCGTTGACTCAGCATTGACCAAGGCGTTGACCGCAGCTGCTGACCAAGATTTTGACCAAGCTGGAATTGGTGATATCTCGCTGAGCCCTTAGCCTATCCCCTTACCCTGTGGATGTGCACTTACCCCACGGTACTTGCTGAGTTGTCTGTCTACTCTTTCTGCATTGAGTCTCTTCTGTCTTAGGTGCTAGGACTCTGTGGATGAAGGATAGGGCCTTGCTGCCAAACATGCACGGGCTTAGTAGGACCAAAGCTCTACTCTGGCACTTGGAGACCTGGGCATGAGCGGCGAGCGCTCGTTAAACAACTCGTCTAGCCCAATGACCGGTACTGTCCGGCAGGTCTACTGAGTTCAGTGTGGAGGGTCTAAACTCCGAGCTGTAGGCTGAAACGAAGGCCGTCTTTAAGTGTTGAGGCCTGGTTGAGCCACTCCCCTACCGGACCTAGAAGGCTGATGATCCGTGTCTGACGACTCGACTGTCCYGAGGGATACGAACCCCTCCAAGGACCGGTACTGACCGGCGGGCTGCTCGGTGTGGCACAGGAGGCTGGACGGGCTRAGTTGTGGGCTGAAATCGCCAGAGGAACCAAGCTGAYCGCGTCGTCCTGTCTGCGACGTTAAAGAATTCTTGCGAAGTTTGGGGGATCTTCTTAAATACCTGCTGATCAGCTCTTGGTTCTGTAGTGACAGCCTTAGAGTAGTCTTGGGTTAGTTGTGATCATCATTGACATGGTCTTATCCTGTGGTCCTTAGGGAGTCAGTCAGTAGGTTAGAGTGTCCGGGTAGGTCTACGTGGTGAGGAGTGGGACCTTTGTCGTGCACCAACACCACGCCCGAGTGGGTCGCCAACTTATCCCTGGGCGAAGAAGAAGAGGTGGCGATGTATATCTCTAAAGATGATCAGGAAGCCGCTATGAGAGCTTGGGAAGCAGAAAAGGATGTTGTGAAGCGGCAGGCATTGGAAGACGAAAAGAGGATGGAGTGGAAGTTGGCAGTGATGAGGGAGAAGAAGAGGAGAGTGKACGCGGCAGCGGAGGCGGCAAAAGAATTAGAGGAAGTAAAGAATATAGAAGAGCAACTGGCCGCCCAGACCGAACTCCCAGCGCAAATGCGAGTCATAGCCCGAAACGTTGCACGCCTGGCACGAATTCAGGCGGAGCAATATGATTTTAGTAGGAGTCAACACATAGTTGTGCGTTCCATAAAGTTGGGGTTTCGGGACTTTGCGCGTGAGCTGGTAGGSGCTATAGGGACCRAGGTGGKTCACCGCCTCGACAAGACTGAGCGGTTCTGTGCCGGCGTCATTGAGGGCGTCAAAGCGGCAGCTCCCAAGGAGGAGGAGGCACRTCCTCCTCRTCGGGAACCGGTCAAAGTCAAATTCCCTGATTCCTACAGTGGAAAAAGGGAAGAGAACTTCGACAATTGGGAGGCCAATGTCAAGACCTATGTGCATCTGCAACAGGTCTCCCCGGATCAGCAGGTTCTGATTGCGATTCACRCGCTCAGAGATGAAGCCGCCAGCTTTGCAAGGTCCCTAGTTCGCGCTACCAATTGCAGCGATGACCCCGTTGCGTACTCCTCATTCACTTCCCTCACTGAGTTCTTGAAGYTGTTGCGCGAGAGGTTCGCCGATGTCGCCCGTAGCGTTAAGGCCTCAGACAGGCTGCAGACGATCCACGCTYGTAAGTGGAAGAGCRCCARGGCACTKAAGAGTACCATGGACGAACTGGTAGCTGTCCCTGACCACGGAKTTACAGACACCCAGTTGGTTGGCCTCTTTTATCGGGCTATACCCGAAGCCCTCCGAGGGCATTTCTTCGCAAAGAGYGAAGACCCTGCCACTACATACGATTCCCTTAGTCGCGAAGTAGTGGCTTTTGAAGCCAAGTCTGYGTTTGTGTCCACTTTCTGGCACAAGGACTTGGACAAGGGTAAGCAATGGAAGGGCCGCACTATCTCAGGGCAAGTAAAGACCAAGGACAGCCTTGTCCTAACCTTAGATGAGGGTAGTRTGGATGAGATCCCCTACGACCAGATTGAGTGGGGGTTAGAGGAGGAGGACAGCTGTGTGGGCCAAGGGAGATCTTACGCTGCTGTCGCGGCTGGAGGGAGGCCGCAAGGAGGAAGAGGCCAGGGCCAAGGGGGCCGGGCCTCAGGGAGTCGATTTCAGGGCGATCAGGGGGTTGGCGGCAGAGGAGGAAACCGCCAAGCGGGAGGCAGGGGTCAAGGTCCCCCGCAAAACCGTCCTAGGAATAGGTCTCCCTATAGAATAGGAGGATGGAACCCAGGGCTACCTCAGGGTAAGCCTTGGGAATCTTTGGGTCTGGACCAGGCTTTATGGCAACAACGATTGGACCGGGGCCAGTGCATTTTCTGCGGTGACCCGGGCCATATCATCAAATATTGTCCTAAGTATAGAGAGACCCAAACGGTTGCCCAAGGGCAAAAAGGCAGCCGCCGGTAGGGGTAGCAACTGCCCCTACCATTAGGCCATGTGGGGAACATAGCGCTAGCCGGCAGGAGACTCCCACACCACATGTGCCTATGGCAGAGGTTGCAGGCCGGTGTCTAGACAGCTGTCCAGAGACTGTTTGTGTCAGGGTCTCTTTAGACACCTCCCTCACAGGCGTGGCCGAAGAATTGAAGGAGAGGATGCCCGCCTGGGCCAAGATGAAAAAAGAACAGAAAGGACAGCTAATTCTGGTAGATGTAGAAATTTTTAGAGGTAGAGTAGGGGCCCTAGTAGATTCAGGGGCTACCCGCAGCTATACTAGTAGGAAGGCGCTGCAGAAGTTGAAGCTGGGGCTTAAAGTCCAAAAGCTAGCAGATCCCATAGTTAGTATTCTCGCAGATAATCATACTATGGTTGTAGAGGAGTATGTAGAGGGAGTCCACGCGTATTTCCGCCTAGAGAAGGATGGGAAAGTGGAGAAGGTCCTCCACTCCCTGACTCTCCTCGTAGAAGACAGCCTCCCATTCGACATTGTTCTGGGAATGGATTGGGGAGAGGCAGYCGGGGCCACGCTCCATTTGAAGGAGCACGAGTGTAGGCTCCCTAGTTCTTCAGGCGAGGCTAAGACTGCCCCCCTGTTCCATGTGTCAGGCGTAGAGAATTCCTTGGCACATTGTTGGCTGAGCGTGCCCGCATTCGCTAGATTGGTGAAGAAGGAGAAATTGGAGGAACAGGTCTTTGTCACCTATATTAGGCCAGTGACTGAGCCTAAGGAAGAGAAGCCCGTAGACCCTACTATTGCCAAATTGCTGGAAGAGTTTAAGGATTTAACTAAGCCGCAGACAGGCACGGTGCCGCGGCCCATCCAGCACCGTATTGAGATAGAGCCTAGCAGTAGAACTCCTAAGGGTGCTGTATATAGGATGTCCCCGCGGGAGTTAGAGGAGCTACGAAAGCAATTGGACGAGCTCCTCGAAAAGGGTTGGATTAGGCCCAGTTCGTCTCCTTTTGGAGCCCCTGTTCTCTTTGTCCCTAAGAAAGAGGGAGAGTTGAGGATGTGTATAG